CTGTTATTGTGAACACAATCCTGTGAGTTGGGTGACTAGAAATGCATTCTACTTTATATATTTTTAGTCATTTGTTAATGTAGAGTTCAGTGTGCAATTGTTTGTGGGAGTGACACTTTTTAGTTTCGATTTGTCCAATAGTGGCACCAGATCAATTTTTTTCTTCCACAGTATTTCTGGTAATGGAAAAGATTCTTGGATCCTGCAGTAGTTTGGTGGAAGTTTCTGGTCTTTTCAGTGGTGAGATCATTCCTGTCAGCTTGATCAAGATCTAAAGGGATTCGAGTTTTCTCTTCTTGACAAATTACTGAACTTGGGACTGAATGCTGAATGAGTCAGTTTATTCTTGCTGTAGCTGTAATATTGTTGGAAAAGTTTTGAAGTGATGTGAATGTGTACTTGTGCATGTGTGTACACTGTATGGAAAATAAGAATGGGGATTTCTGTGCTGTTTTGGCTCCTTTACTTGAAAACACATCTTCATACTGCGCACAACACACAGACTGTGTGTTGGCACAAGCTATTTTTACCTGATTTTTTACCTTAGAGTTTTCTCTAAAATGGAAGACTTAAGTAACCAATACAGGAAGCTATTGGTAAAAATCTCTGTCTTTTAATTTTTTTCTTTTTTCCTCTTACCCCTGTATTTTTTACAAAAGCATGTTCTAATTAGTTCCTAAAAGCACTGGAAGTATGTGAGGATTAACACATAAAGCTTTTTAGCATTTTTGCGTAATATATATATATAGACACATTTTAGGCTGCAATCAGAGAGTTTGGAATGGTTTTGGTAATTTTTTTTAATTCTATAAACTTTAGGGATAAATCATAAATAGTATGCTTTAAGCAATGGTATGTGTTATGTTGCAATGAGATGGTTTAACAATCTCTAAGAATATTGTTGCAGTGTTTTCTTTGAAATATAAAGCTTCATGGTGAGACAAAACAAAACACAGCATTCAGTTGTATGGTCAGCAAATAACTGTCCATTGATAAATAAAACAGATGCACACATAAAAATGTTTCACAGTTTTAGTCACTTAAAAATAAGGGATTAAATATGTCAAGGTTGAAAAAGTTCTATCTTAAATCATCAGCATGGCTATAATAACTTGTCACTCGCTAAAACATCTGTCAACTTTCCAAGCAGTGCAGAAGTAAAACATTACCTAAGGTGTAGCTGATGAGATGGAGTGCAAGCAAGCTGCGTGCACTGTTTTAGAGAATACGTTTGGAGTATTTACAAATACATATTTACAAAGTATGTCTGATTTGTAACCAAGGGAGACACAGTCCAATAAAAATACTTAATGTGACCAATTGTCCGAAGTCATACTGACTGCCAAATATTTTTAATGGCATAACCATGTTGCAGTTCTTTACAAAGAGCATATTGGGAACTTTTCTACACCAAAATGTAAATCCCTATGGATTGTTTATTATAGGTTATTACATGACATTAAGAATCCCACCCTTTTGTCTTGCTTTCTATTTCACACTGTATTTCTAATGGCTTTCATGATCTCTCCTTTTCATGTTATTCCTTCTCTTCCTCCTGCTCATTGCTTTTAAGAACATTTTCTGAATGCATGAAAGTTTTTGTACCCTTACTCTTCCCTCTCCTGACTAGGTGTGCTGAACTCTTAATAGTCTTCAAAATATATCCTCTATTGGCCAAGTGGACTCTTCTGGATAGATTTGTTAACTGTCTTTCTGTCTACTATCTCAAAAACATCCTCCTATCTCAACCCTCACCAGAGGTTTTAATTAATTGTTCAACCAGTGAGTTTAATTTTGATTTCTTTGTGATCTTTCTATGACCTGAAATTAAAGTGTACATCATAGTGTACATAATTCTTTTTTCTTCCTGTGTGTATGGACACACAGCTCAAATGCTGCTGTACATGTTTATTCAGTTCATAGTTCTAATGTGAGGTGAAAGCTGGCTAGCTGCTAGGTCATGTAGTGGCATTGTGTCGTACAGGCTGCAGCCAGCAAGAAATACAGGATTAGCACAGCAACTTGATGTCTCTTCTTAATTATCAGAAAGTGGCAGTGTGCATGAGGGATTTCTCATGGATGTGCAGCAGGACATCCTAACTGAATTCTGTCCATCATCAGTGTGTAATGCCTCTGCTTGGCTGATAGTCCTCTGTCAGGGTTTTGACTGGGATAGAGTTAATTTTCCTCTTAGTAGCTGGCACAGTGCCATGTTTTAGATTCAGTATGACAGTAATGTTGATAACACAACAATCGTTGATTGTTGATAAGTAGTATTTACCCCAAGTCAAGGATTTTTCAGTGTCCCGTGCTCTGCCAGCAAAGAAGTGCACAAGAAGCTGTGAAGGAGTGTGGCCAGGACATCTGATCTGAATTGGCCAAAGAGGTATTTCATACCGTAGAATGTCATGCTCAGCATATAAATTGGGGATGAGGGTGGTGATGGTGTTGTCTCTGTGGGGCCCATTGCTGCTCAGGAACGGACTGGGAATTGGTCACTGGTGGTGAGTGATTGTATTGTGCAATTGCTTGTTTTATCTTGTGTGGTTTTTTGTTTTGTTTTGGGTTTTGTTTGTTTTTGTTTGGTTTTTGTTGTTATTGTTTTGGTTTTGTGGTTGTGGTGGTTTTTTTGTTTGTTTTTTTGTTTTTGGTTTTTTTTATGAGGGGTTGAGTCTGTGGGATAGGTGAAGGGTTTTTCAGTAGTGCCTTTCTTCCAATCCAACACCATGGAAGTCACATTATAGAAAGGATAGAAGAGAAATTTCAGGTCCTCAAGTCTATTAGGCTGTAGAAGCTTTTAGCAGTATGATGTGACATCTTGACATCTCAAGCTGGGCGTTTGTGGTTTTAGAGGAAGGAGAAGGGTATTTATATACCTGAACATATGCAGACTAAGGTCTCCCTGTGCTTGCATTGCTTCATTCTGTATTGTAGATACTGCAGAGCTGTTGCAACACAACATTTCAGATTAATTTTTTTTTAATTCAGTGTTCAGAGAGGATGAAGTTCTGCATGTATTCTTAATGATTTATTATATGCCAAATTTTCTTCAGTTATATAAACAAAATGTTTTGAAAACAAAAATGTTTTGATCTCTCTGCTGATGAAATTTATTTTAAAAAGATATTAACTGGATTTCCCAATGTACATGACAAGAATATATATTGGGAATGTTGTGGATCACTTCCAAGTGTTTTGTTAGTGTGCTGCTCCCTCCCTCTCTGTTCAGATACTTGATCCTGCAGCAGTAAATGCCTCCTATCAGATCTAAAGAAATAAAACACCTTCTCGAAAACACTAATTAGCATTCTTTATTATTGCAGTTAATTAAGATGATAGCATTTGCCTTACTGTTGATTCATAATTTATATTAAAAAGTCAGATTTACTTCTACAATATCTTGCTTTCAGAATTTGTTACCTAGAACCAAATATTATACTTGCATTTATATTTTTACAGTGAACCAAGTTTAGAAATAGGTTTAAAATGATACATATAATACTCTGCAAGTTCATGCCATCCTAAAGGCTTTATAATTTTAAATGCATTCAAAATTTGCAGAAGAATAAAATTAGTATATACAAATGAGCCTGTCTTTAAAGTTGGAACAGTTTATAGTTACTTTGTTTTGTAAAGGAAGGAACAGACTTTAACACAGGTCATGGTTGTCCTGGTTCTGGCTATTTACTGTGCACCTACAGGAGTTACCACAGCTAAACTATTCCAGGGATGTCTTTTCAAGATATTCCACAGTTGTCTTGACTTTGAGAAAGCTGAGGTGTAGGGACTGTAATCAGGAACAGGCATTGTTGTCATCTACCTTGATTTTCTTTGTATTGCTGTAATAAGTGATTAAAGGCTGAGGCAAAGTGACTTCTTTCAACAGCAGTAAAAGTCACTGAATCTGTCTCATAAAAGGTCTAAACCACTGAAGAATTCAGGTTGCTGTATTAACTACATGTAAGTATGCTCAGCCCTGAGCACTGTTACAATAAATAATAATAATAATGGCCAGTCTTCGCGAGCGAAGATCTGGGGAAGGTCTTTACACCTTCCAGCCTGCGCATTGGATTTTTTAGGTGAGACACAGTGTGCGCAGAACTGAGCCCACCCTTTAATCCTAAGGTTCATCTGCTGGGGCCAAGCGAGCTTGGACGGTGGCAGCGAGGTTAGAGTCTTCAGATATGACCTCCTCTAGGATCTCCAATGTTGTTCAGTACTGTCTGTCATACTTAGCAGTTTGTGGTCACTGAAGTTGTTGGAAGGGGGTAGAAGTGCTCTTAGTATGAGGAAAAAAGATGTGTGTTTTGTCAAGAAATACAGTGAGAGTGTACTATGCTTGACTGCAATCAAGTTGGACAGATGACTACCTCACCTAGAGGGAAAAGGATGTATGTATTTCTTATGTTTTCTGAGGTATTAATATTCAACTACAATGCTATATGCTGGAATATTTTTATTTTCTTCTTGCTTATGAGCAGATATGCTTCCTCTTCCAAGAGTGGCTTTCATCAGGTGCCAGAATTTATATATGGGAGTTAGAGATTAATGGAGCTAGTGGATTACTGGAGATACTGTAAATTTGCAGCTGACAACCTATGCTCTGCTCTGGCAACTGTGCTGTGGAAGATTAGTGATGTGCACAGGGATAGTTCGGAGGAGAGCTCAATTAATTAACAAGGAAAATTCTTTATTCAGTTCTCCAGCACCGCATAACCTTCGTTCATCTGTGAAGGCGGGGGAAACCCCCTCCGGGCAGAAAGACCATAAACTGGGCCTTCTCTGGCTGCGCATTGAGAGACGAGAGGCGGGGGAGATGTACGCCGCCCTCGTTCAGGCTGAGGCTTTACCTTTGCCGGCGCCCATTTTTTTGGGAGGAGACCTTGCCCCGTGCTGTGTCGCGGCGCGGGGGCCCCGCGGGTGCTGCGGCCGTGCCGCCCCCGGCCGTGCCGCCCCCGGCGCTGCCGCCCCCGGCCGTGCCGCCCCAGGGCGCTGCGAGGGCCGCCCGGAGCTCCCCCATGCGCGGGGCGCGGGGCCCCGGCCCGCCGGGCGGCTGCGGCAGCGCCCGGGGGCTGCTCGTCGTGGGGTGAGTGCGGGGCCGGGGGCTGCTCGTCGTGGGGTGAGTGCGGGGCCGGGGGCTGCGGGCCGTGGCGGCGGGAGCGCTGGCGCGGTGCAGGCGGACGGCGTGATTGTTTTGTTCCTTCCCGTTTAATGTCCGCAATTGCGGAGCCTTCGGCGAGGGCTGGGAGCAGTCGGGAGCTGCGGCAGCTCCTGGTGTTTGCTTGCCAGCGCAGGGGAAGTGATGCTGTGGATGTGCTGGGAGAGGTTTTTCCTTTCGTCTTATTCTACTGCAATAATTTCCTGGCACATCTTCTAATGGCATGTGATCCAAGGAGTCAGGAGACTACAGTAATACTACAACATGCAGTGGAACAATGCGGCAGAAACACTATTTTGCTGCATCTCACTCACATCAAGACTAGAGAAGACAGCCTCAAGTTGTGCCGGGAGGGTTTAGATTGGATTTTAGAAGAAAATTCTTCATTGAAAGGGTGATCAGGTATTGAAACAGGCAGCTCAGGGAAGTGATGGAATCCCTGGAAGGGTTCAAAAAACATGTAGTCGAGGCACTTAGAAACAGTTTAGTGGTGGACCTGGCAATGTTAAGCTAATGATTGGACTTGCTGACCTTAGAGGTCTTTCCCAACCTTGATGATTCTTTGATTCTCTGTGTTATGCTGTTAAGTATAATGCTATATGTAGTTTCCAAGAGAAGGTCCATGAAATATTAGTGGTGATATTTCTGTGTTTTTCATCTATGTAGGGTCAGGTTTCCTGTAAACTCCCCCCTAACCTCTGCCCACTGGGTTCTTTGAGAAGTCAGAAAGTCTTAGAGATACAGGAGACCCAATCGGTGTAGTTAGCTTATGCTGCCAAGAGTCTGTCAAGTAAATAAAGCAGCTGGAATACAAGAGGAAAGGGTTCTTGTACAGGCAAATGACTACAATATGAAGCAGAAGGTAACAGTAAATGGTTTCCTTCTCCAATGGTGTTACATTGAAATCTGTCCAGGGCAGTTTGAGCTAATTGACCAGGTAAAGACATGAATAGTGAAGTGTGAAATCTTGGTGGTGATATTAAGCTGTGGAAAAATACTAAGAAAGATTATTTTAAATATGTGATTATAAACAATTTCCTTTAAAAAAAAAAGCTAAAAAATCAGCTATGATAATATTGAAAGACGTTATAAGGCTACCTTACCAATAACCTCGCAAATGAAATGACAGAGAGATATGTACAAAACAGAAGGAAATAGTATTCTATGTAGAAGATGGGCTGTGAGGTCTTTGTTGCTGCCTGGGAGGTAGATTTTGGTGTTAGGACAAAACGAGACTCCAGTCATGGAACAGAACTGCATGAGGTTTCGTAGAGTCTCCTGGTGCTGACTGGCCAAAAGCAGATACCTAGAGAAGAGCTAGTATATTTTGAGCAAACACACAGAGATGTTTTCCACTGCTCCAAGAATTTGCAACTGAAGGTCTTTTGTCATGAAAAGTTCAACTTCTGGTAGGTTTTTGGTGTCTTATTAACCAAAACATAGGAGTAGCATTTGTGATGTAGTTGATTTGAGTGGGGAGTTAGAATTTGACATGTATCTTTGTAATATGTGTAATGGCAAGATGAATATCAGGATAGAAAGAAGACAGCAATCCTAACTATTGCAGGGCCAAGCTACAGTTCTTGTCAAAAGAAATGAAGAAAATTCTTGAACTGTTAGCTTTTTCCTTACAGTTACTCATTCACAAATGTACTTTGGTGTAATCATGCTACTTCACAGTTACGACCTGAGGATTTTATGGGATGAAAATAGGAACTTTTACTGGTAAAGCACTCTGTTGTTATAAAGGTGTTTCTGAGGACACATCTGTGTATGTTCTGAAGAGGTGGGCTTAGCATACTGATGACAAAACTTAGTAGGATTATAGAAATATGTGATTATAAACAGTTTCCATTAAAAAAAAAGCTAAAAAAACCCAACAAAAACATGCAACCCCCCAAACGAACAAACATAACTTTCCTTCATTAAAACATATACTAAACTAGTTTTAGTAAAGACCACTGTTTGCTTAGCACCTTATCTATAACTTCTTTTTATGTGGAGAGACAGCTGAGAAGGTGGACTCTGTTAATGATTGAACAGAAACATGCTGGTAAATAAATTACTGAATGGGCAGTTACTGGTGTGTGTCTTGGCTCTGTTAGTGAGGTGCTGTTACATCTGTGTGTGCTTTGTGCGAAGTTTAAATTGCACAGTTGAAGGAGAATGCCTGTGGAGTTAAACAAGTCTATTTTAAAATAAGGTAGTTTGTATCAAGCAAATGATTGTGTTGATGGATAGGATTGAAAAATTTGACGGAATAGTTGTCTTTTCCCCTCCCTCCCCTCCACTGGAGGTGTGAATTAATTTTATTTAAAATTATGGAATGATGTGTTTCTGTGTTTATAGGAAGGGACTGTCCAGAGGTTCCACAAGTCGATGTATCTCCGGAAAAAGTGGAGAGTCTCTTCCATCAGTTTTTGCAAAAAATGTGCAGGAAGCCATCGACAGCTATACTTGGTATGCATGTGCTTCTGTAACAGTACTTCATTAATGCACTTTTGACCTAGACAATGGAGTTAAAGAAGGCTTATGTTATCTATACCATGGTTTTTCATGGGGTCGCTAGCTGAACTGGAGAAACCAAATAATTGCTAGAGCTGGAAATACAGGAACATGTGTACGTATATATTCAAATACATATAGACATACATATGTGTATTTTAGAGGGTCCATACAATTTCAATGAGATAGATATATATATAGATATATATATAGATATATATATATATATACAAAAGCATAATAATATGGGACAAGTATAGTCAACAAGACACGATTCTTTCTGCGTTGTCTCTTCTCCTCGAGAGTGATCCTGCATGTGTTCCCAAAAGAAGCAGCAGTGTTACAGATAGTGTGTCTCCAGGCCTCCTGACTGGAGGCCAGAGTAGACCAGTGGTGGTGATCAATATGGCCAAGGCTGAGAGATTGTTTCAGGGAGTCCTTGTAGGTACTAATAGGAGCATGTATTCATAGCACTCTACTTGAAAACATATGCTTGCACCTCTTCACCTCGACAGGAATATGTGTTGCTGTCCATTTCTGTGACTGGTTGCTTTATTTTAAAAATGTTTATACAGAAAATAATTGTGTTCTTTATTTTAATTTGTCACATTTTCAGTGAAACGCTTTCATCACTTTCATCTAGTGGTTGTACAACACCCACAGAGTTGAAGAATTCTTGGTCTGGAATACACAGCTATACTACTGGTTTGTCTACTGAAAGAAGTTCGATTTACTCCTGGAGGGATGATGTATGTCATGAAAACTTTTACAGTTCCCTTTCTTGAAATATTGTAGAAAAGGTTAATATTTACTGAAAATGGGCATGCAGCACCTCATCCGTAATAGCCTAGTGATTGAATAAATTGAATTATTGAATATTTTAAAAATAGTTTTGTTTGCAAGTTGGTATCAGTGCAACTAATGGGTAACAAAGAAAAATGGAATAAAATTTTGAAATTATGAAGTTTGAGGAAAACAAACCTGTTTTACTGAAGAAGGTTGGCTTAGGTTTCTGAATCCATCAGAATGATTACATGTGTTTTTAAATACTGCATAGTGCAGACAATGTCTAAATTGAATTATTCTCAGGTGTTTTCAGTTATAAAGTACATTCATGAACATGTGTATAATTTTCCCAGTCTTGGTAAATATTTAGCTCTTACATAAGCTCAGTTCTGTTTTGTAGATGATGCAGAGGGAGGTTGTACCTTTTGTGGAGGCTGACCTCTGAGGCATAGCTGGTGCAGGCTGGCAGTGTTGAATAAATCCAAAAGCATTGCAGTTGCTGCCACTTTCATTTTAAAAGGCCTTCCATGGCTGGTAGTGGTAGTTCTGCCATTATTCTTGCATAATGTCCTAATCTTTAGGGTACTGACCCCATCTGTCGCTGCAGGCCTTCAGGAGAAAGCCTTCCTCTGGATTATACATTAACCTGTGTGAGAGTTATTTTCTCATTCCTTCTTGGTGTGATCCCTTCTGTAGCCTGGAATGCTTTGAAACATTCAGCTGGAAATGAACAAGTGTGATTTGGGCCCCGAGTATTACCCCTTTTTTTAGTGTATCAAAGTATCTAATGTAAGTGGCAAGTGTCATTATGAACAGTGCCCCAGCCGAGGAACCCTCAGCCAAGTGCTTGTGTCCACATCACTGGATGAAATCAGGCACTTCCCTGTTATTTTCATATACCTCTGTGCTCACCTGTCTCTGGTTGCACTGATTTGTGGTTTCAGTGAAGAGGTTTGGAAGGGCATTTCTCACACTGAGGGCTGTTTCCTAACCACCAGACTAGGTCATGCAGGTGGAAGGTGCCCCCTCTTTGCCCTCTTAGCTGTTTTACTCAGAAAGGGAGAGCAGTGCTTGAAAGAGCAGGGAGCTTTGATGCCATGGGTCCCAAAGATGCAGTGTGCGTGGTTCATATTGGAGCAGGGAGCAGCCTGGTAGTCCAGACACCTTATAATTTTGTGGGTTTTTTTCTATTGGCTAATCCCAGGCAGCTGTCAGTTATCTGTTAACATCCTAGAAATATAGACTTCTAGTTCCTTTTTGCTAAATCAACTTGCTCAGGTCAGTTATGTAGGATTTCTTTTTTTTTTCTTTGCATTGTAGTATATACATTGTGTGTCCCAAATAAATGGTCTGAACATGCATTCTGACATGCCCAGCTAAATTGATTCAAATTGTTTTGTTCTTTATATATTGTGGTAATTTTAATTTAGATGCCAATTTGCTAACAACTATTAACTTCATGATATGTAGGAATTTGATAAAGCCAACACACAGAGAGTACATCAGTTATTTTTGGAGATTGATGAAATGCTGTTTGAAGGAAAAGTGACCACCCAAACAGAGAGCCTGCAGGTTGAATGTGCCAATTGGGTTGAACAATTTCCTCACCTAAGGTAAAGAAATGTTTTGCTAGTACTAGTTTTAATCAGTTATCATTCTAATTTGAATTTTTGGGGTACCCTCTTATGGATTGCTCTTGATGTATGGCATCAGCAACACTTATGCATTCAAATCTGTCTCTCTGGGACTGAGCTGTGCCATAGTTGCACAGTAAGTCTGGGAAGTGGTGCTTTTCCACTAATGCCCTTTATTTTGCTTAGTACAATGATTGTAGGCAAAGATATTTTAGCAGGATGTAATGAGAAAATAATAACACACCGTTTTCATAATGACTTTTCCTAAATAAAGAATACATCTTTTAAATAAATATTTGGTTTTACTGTAAGTGAAAACATACTGTGAAATTCCAGGAAATTCAGTAATTCTGTAATTGATTCTTCTGAAAAGTAACAAAATATAAAGGGCAACCACATGCCTCACATATACTGCACAGCCACAACCTCCTCCTGGGCATGTAAAACAATGTGTTATATTAACCCAGCAATAACCCCTTGAATAGATAGGAGGATGCACACATGATTAATAAGAATTGCTTTGCATAGATGTGCAGAATTTCTAGGCAGCCTGATGACTGCTTCTTGTAGCACAGGGGACAAGTCAGTGTTGCTCTGCATTGTACTGTCTTGCCTTCGTAAATGATGGCATGACATTCTTTGTGAGATATGGTTACTCTTATTCTAAACATAGGCATGCATGTATAATCACTGTCTTCTAGTCAATAGTTTGTTAACACCATTAAAAAGAATGCTGTCAGTAACTGTGGTTTGCTTTCAGTGCTTTTAGGTAATTTGCACAGGCTTGGTACTTTTAAATATAAACTAAAATCAACTAACAATTTCTTTGTCATGAAAAAAAGGAGAATTGTCAGATAACTCTGAGGCAATTTTCACTAGCATCAAACCATGTTTTGCCTTGTTTAGATACTGTGAAGAGTAATAGAGTATGCATAAAATGGAGACAGATTTTTGTGTTGTGTAATTCAATCAAAATATTAAGTAATTTCTCTATATTATTTAGGGTATTTTCACTGGGTAGAATTTATTTTAAGTGATTCCCTGTATGTAGTAGTTTTTGATTCAAATCTAATGCTGGCAATACCAACCAAGTCCAAGAGGTTGAAAGTGAATTGAAGAAATCTGGCAGCTTCTGCATCATTTGCTACTAAGGGATGTGGTACCTCCTGTGATTTAAAAAGAAAACAGAAGTTATTTTCATTTATTAAGATGAGACATTTAAACTCGCTCTGTGTTGACTAGTTTCTCAGAAGAATAGTTTCTGGAATACCAGATTGATTTCTGAGTTGTGCTTCAAATTGCTTGCTGGCTGTCCTTTTTTTTTTTTTTATTTGTAAAACAGCTGTGTTGATATATGAATATGTGGCTCAGCATGTGCGAATAAATGTACTCGAGAACTGTCATCAGTAAGAGAAAGATCAGATCTATTAAAGAGAAAGCCTTTTGTTCTTGGCTTACAAAATAAAGAGTGAAAAAGGCCATTGCTTAGAGCTTCATGTGGCATAAAGTGTTGTTCTGTAAAAGGTAGTCTCAAGAAAACATGTTCAGGTGAGTCTGAACATTGCTACTTGCACTATAGATTTGACTGGTAAATTCTATTGAGATCCCTCGTGAATTCTAGTGAAAAAAATTCCAGTAAGCAATGATTATTTAACTATACTGTGTTCAGAAATTATTTTACAGCGTAATTTTGTGTATATTTATTAGAGTTGCTTTTACCTTTTCTGTCTGTCCCTCTACATTATGCATTTGATTAGCACTTTTGCTCACGTTGATGGCTACTGGAGTTGGATAAGTGAAGGCACAGAAGGTATTATTTGTCTTCTGCATCCATTTTTAAATATTTCTTACATGGTTTTGGTAAGAAGGGAAGTGTGTTTACTTTATTCGCTATATATTTATTTAAAATAATCTAACAAGTTTAACTATTTGCTATCAAAGTTTATAAACTAGAATCTCATCTAGTGTAAATCAGCTTAACTTGAATGACTTAAAAACTAGGTGATGTTAATGTATTACACAAGGCTCTGAGCCCTCCATGAGTTGCTTTTCAAAGCAGATATAATGTGTGCTTTTACATTGCCTACTGTTTGCAGGTATTTGTACTCTGAATCTTTGCATATGGCATAGGCTTCCATCTAAGAAACTGTTTGTTCTCTCCATTTTATTCAGGGTTCTAGGAAAGCAGCTCCTAGTGCCAAAGGATGAAGGCTTTCAGCATTTTCAGAGCAGAAATGATGCCTATCTGGATACTAAGTGTCTGCCCTGCCTCTGTGAATATACTAGTAATACGAAAGAGTATGTTGATTTTTATTTTAAGCTTTCCTTTTTGTCTTCCCCCCTTCAGAAGTATGTACAAATACTACTTTTGTATTACTGAAACATATCAGTATAATTAAATATGTACTTTCTTCTTTCTTTGAATGTTTAATTCTCATTTTGTTGATATTTTTTTCAGGCTCTGCATTTCAGGCTCTAAACTGATCCCAACAGCATCTCCAATGCATAAATCACTGGATTCAAGTTCTACTGGGATTTCTGACTCAGCCATGTATTCCTTCCTGGAAGAAGAAATCTATGATATGGATGGAAAAATAGAAGAATATCTTGCCTTTGACAGCAAGGAACTGTAAATAACAGATATATGTATTTTTGAAGAATATAATGAAAAATTATCATTGAACCCAGTCAGGGTTCATAAATTGTGTTTCTCTTCTGTAAGATACAGTTCCTTCTGTCCCTGTGTTTGGTAGCACAGTGGTCAGAGCAGTCACTGAGCATGTGGAAGATTAGGTATGTTGTCTTTCTAGTGGTTCAAAACTCACATCTTCCATGTCAGAGGAATGTGTCTTAACCACTAGTTCTTTTGAGGTGTTTGGCACATGGATTCAGTAAAAAGAATATTTAATTTTGAGATGGAGTAGAATGAAGGCATCCCCTCTCCCCAAGTGAGTGCCTTGAGCAGCAGCTTGTTTAGGGTCATTATATTGTACATTTTCTTATTGTCTGCCCTGACAAAGAATCTTAAATTCTTTCAGTGCAGTATCACAGCTTTGTGAGGAGAGCTGCTGGTTGCAGCCTGCATTCAGAGCACTTTTGTGAGGGACAGGAGTCAATTATTTTCTTGACAGTCAGCCTAGGTTTCCTGTGAGCCAGTTGAATGTTCCAGCAGCTAGGCTACTGAGTAGATGAAAGATCATCATGTACTGTTTCCTAAAAGGCCTCTATGAGGGGAACTTCAGTAAGACTAGTTGGTCACAAAGCATAGCTTTTTGTGCTAAGGTCTTATGCACATTCAGGACAAAGGCATGGTTGTTCTCAAAACCCGAGGAACCAGGCTGACACCCTTTCAGTCCCGTGTTTTTGAAGAGAGAGCTGGGGTTACAAGCCTTTGAGAATTCTCTTAGTATTCTTCTCTCCCCATTTTGCTAAGTAAGCAAATTTAATCTGGGAGGGAGACTTGTCTGAAGGTGTGTTCCTCTCTCTGCCTTCTTCATATGCCTCTTGTTTCCTTCAACCCTGGAATACCTTGTTCTCCATAACTAAAACATTAGGCATTTAAAGGCTTGATATGGAAATAGCTTGGTCAGATTGTGATTTGGACTGCTCAGCCACATTTCAGTTATAGTTAAGAATTATGCAGTTAAGTTTGAGGAAGAAGTGAAGAAGTGACTGAGAAGAGAAAGAGTATGAATTTGGACTCATCTTTATGATTTCAAAAAAATACATTCCTTAGAAAGAAATATGATGGCATTAGAAAAAGAAAAAGGTTAAAACTTCCCTCCTGAGAGGTGTATTAGAAGGCTAAGTTAAGAAATGTTGCTGCAATGTGCTGCCCAAAGTAGGGAGAAAGCAGAAAAAAAAACAAACCAAAAAAACATAATCATCCTCACAGTAGTGGAAAGGAAGAAGGTATGTGTAAGGCTATGTGCTCTGCTATTCTCGTCAGACTGCAGAAATCCTTTGAAGTTGTTTTTTCTTTGATCAATGGCGGAGTACTGCATATGTGTGCAGGTACACAGGGCATGGTAAAAAAGAAATATTCTATGTTTTAGTTCTCCTGACAAATGGAGCAGATAATAGTTCATTTATGTTACTGTAAAACATATAGGATTTAGTCTCAAATGACTATGTACCGTGTATAAAACTGTTTCCTAGAGCTGCAGATCTTTCTGTTGTAGTGCCCTGATGGGATTTTTTAATTTTTCAACTGCAAGCAAAAAAAAAGAGAAATCATTGTATGTGTATGATAGGTTCAGTTCCTATGGGTGCATTTGAATTTTTTGGTGATCTACAGCTGACTGCCTTTTCTTCTGTATTTAAGTTTCTGTATTGGAAGGAAGGGAAAAAAAGGCAAAACTCATGAGTTCTTTTGAATTTGTTTTCTTTATTAGTGATGATGAGAGTTGGGAACAAAAGAAGATGTGTCTCTCTGAGAAGAGGAGTAAGCGTGGCATTCCCCCTGTTTCTCCCAATGCCTGTATCAAAGATGCTGTGGCTTCTGAAGTATTTGATCATGTCTGGAACAGTGTCATTGAAATATTGGAGGAACTGATTAAAAAAAATTGGGAAACTAGTATCCCAGGTATCTGATATTTTCAAATATGGTATTTATTGAATCTAACTCAGAAAGTGATTCTCCCTTACCCCTTAAAATAACCAGGTTTTCCAATCTTTATTAAAGATAACCAGTGCTGGAGCACTGTAAGATATGTAATGCCTTGCCAGGAGAACGCACACACGGACACACAGAGACACACACACATGGGCACCTAAAATAAAAGCTTCTTTACTAATTTTCAGGGAGTTTTTTATGAGAGGTGAAAAAAAAAAGTAAAAATACTGACTGAAATAGCTTCATTTCACGAGAGCATGTTTAAAAAAATAAAAATCACTGGCTTGAGATGCAAATTGATGCTGTTAGCAGGGGGTCACTGATGATGTGATGTGAATCTGGAACCTAGGAATCAAAGTCTCCTAGTCCTCATTGTTTGAACTTTGTTAATAAAAAGAACCCTTAGGTAGGAGATAGACAATCTTGCTGACGTTAAGAGTTCCTGAGTTTACTACAGGATAAAGAAATGGATGTAATTTTATTTTATGTTTTTGTATTCTATCGGACTGTAGCAAGGAAAATTAACTAGATGTGAAAATCTATTTATTGTGCATATATTGTCTTTGGAGACTGAGGGAAATTTCCGTTCTTTCAATGTATTTTAAAAGTACAGTAATAGAAGAATACCTGAGGGGGTTTTGGAAGTTACCTCAAGTTACCTCAAGTATAAAGTACACTCAACCTCAAATATAAGAATACAACAAAGTAAGAAATGGCAAAATTTCTCAGAATGCTTGCAGCATCAGAATTTAACATTTCAGCTGTTACTGAAATATAAAAGTTCCTTTCAAACCACAGGCATGTTGTTTAGCTCTCACTATTATAGTTTAGGGGGGATAGCTTAGCAGTATTATGATAGGTTTGCTCTTTTATCTTTTTGAATGTCATAAACTTATGACAAAGCTAGTTACCAAAGTATCTCAAGTAAGAAGGAAAAGAGTTTGTATTTATAATAGAAATAAGATGGTAATTTATACCCAAAATGAAACACTGTGTAGCTGCTGTCAGACAAGGATACTATCAGTAGACTTTTTGTTTAATATATATTTTTAAATTTTTTTTTTGCTGCTTAAAAAGAAAAATCTTTTGGGATTTTTAAGTAACATTTCGAAAGTCTCAGCAATATTTTCTTAAACACCTATCTCCAACTCTAACTGTATAGACAAATGTGTATGTCAGTGTCAGAGAAAGCATAAACAAATGGGAATGCTTTTAGAAAACATCATTTATGGTAGATTTTTAAATAACATGGAAACTTAAAAAGATATGAAAGTCTTTATTTACTGTGAAGTGTAATATTTTTTGAACCCCAACAAAGGATGACTAGTAAACAGAAAATTCCTCTTACTACATCTAATTTTTTTACTGTTGTGCAGAGTGTGACAAAAAATTGGGAAAACTGAAAACTGTTACAGTAAAACTGCCACATTTGCCAGCCATTCATATTGTAACAGATGCTGGGAGCATTCCTCTTTCCAGAGGCTCTGAAGCACGAAGTGTATCTTTTGGGCCTCATTCTGTTTCATCACAGGTAAAAATAAAACATAACTTTCTGTCAAATAGTGGTTGTTTTTTTTTCTGCAAACTGTTGACAGTCTTGATTGAAACTTGAAAAGGCTCTTTTTTCCCCTGTTTTGTTTTTTCCTATACCAATTAAGTGTACTTAAAGTTATCTGATTTAAAATGAGGATTAATTAAATGAGCATTTTGTGTTTGTTGTCACATGTTTTTCTTTGGTGGTTCTTAACAGTGCCATTTACCACTAAGGTATTGCTGCAGTTGCTTTAGCAACTTAGTCTTGTTAGACTGTATTTTGTCCTAGACTGTATCCTGTCCTTAACTTTGCTTTATTGTGGTCTAGTCATTTCTTCTTGGTAGAATTAAGAAAACAAACTGGGCTTTTCCCTGGACTGCAGGGATGTCAAGTTGCAACTTCATTTTCTCTGCTTCCACCCATACGTTGGCACTAGGCCTTAACCGTCTGTGGAAGCTCATGTTTATATTGATCAAATGTTCTGTTTTGTCCTGCTTGCTACCTCCTCCCTCTGTCACCTGTTTTGCATATACGTTTCCTTTGAAAATTACATAGTTGCACCATCTACTACTGAGAATTCTATTAAACCATCTTAGTAGAAACTTTTCTAAAATGCAAGTAAAATATCTCTTAACTATGTGCTTTTGGAGGTCTTCCTTCAAAAAATATAAAGGTTAACGCATAATTATTGCTTTTAATAGGTTCAACGTTTCTCCAGTAACTTCTGTAGTGATTTGAACGGTGTGATGACAATTCAAGCAAAACCACTCCAACAGAGACATGTTACCAGAGTAGAAAAAATACAGTAGGTTTTGATATTGACAATTTCAAAATGTGACATAATTCACACTGCAAAAAAAATGTTTTGCAGTTAGAAAAAGGCAATAAAAAGGCAGTGATTTTGTTTGTACGTATCACTGATGTGATAGTGATTTGCAGAGGTTGAAAGGATATGCTGTTAAATCCTTTTATCTGTTGATCCTAATTCATTTTTCTTTCTCTTTCCCTAGGAATGAGCAAGAAGACAAACAGCAAAGCGCTGCCTCTAGTGCTCCAAATTCAGCCCATACTAGGTTGGGGAGAATTTCTGATAATAGTATTCTGTCATCATCTCGGGCACTGCTGGCATCTTCTAGGAAACAACCAAACCATCGGAGGTTACCTTCTCTCACCTCTGACCAACTCTACTCAAAAGTTCCTAATACATACAATGAGGAAATCCTAAGAGGAACAAAATTGTGAGTTTTTAATTTTATTCTCTGATTTTCTCAGAACTTTACTGAAATTTCACCAATGCAAGATTTTGCAAAATACTTGAAAACTAAGCCACGATTTGTTATTAATTGTAGAATTTAGAGAGAAAAAGAAAGTAAGCCAAACCATGCTTTTTTGAGAAAAGGGATTTGTTTTAGTTTTTAATTGCTGTATTAGGTGCTGTTATGTTTTGTAGCCAAGCTCTATAAAGAAATGTACTACTTTATAATTTCATATTGCATCAGTGAAGAAGTCCATAATATGAATTTTCCTAAAGGAAGAACACTTAAAATTCTGTAGGGTTGCCAGCTCAGATCGTTTGTCTTCTGCTCGTGCACCTGCAACCCGGAACAAGTTACCACCAATAAATTCTGAGGCTGTTGAACAATATCTTTCAGTACCTCGACTGCAACAGAGCTCTGTAAGTTGTGTTAATTTTTGTTCCGGTGAAGAACTTCAAGCTATTTAGAAATAAAGTGCTCTGTGTCACTGGTTGAAATGAGCAATTTTACAGTTTGTTTTGGTTCGTATTTCATGGATGGTTTTAACATGCTAATGTGAATTACATTGGGGTATCATTACAATACAAGAGAAGCCAGTTTAAAACCTCAGGTCACAAACAGATCATGGTGGAAAGACTTCTCTGACAACAGGAAAATCTGGTTAAAAAAATAGAAAAATGACAAATCAACAAGATAGTAACCTTGCACATTTATGCATCTGGATTTAAAAGGCTCCTTTCAGTGTTTTATTCATTAATGTTAGGTTATAAGAAGTGGAAGATTATGCTGACTGAAGTAGAAAAGGATATCAACTGAACAAAACAGATTTTACTGTACTGGCCTATTTTCGAAGGTTGGGGAAGTCATAAATTACCAGAATGAAAGTAGATTGGCATGTTGAATAATTCTTCTTCTGAATAATATTTTGAATTGAGACAAATGTAAAGTCTTTTATTATTTTAATTAATTTAAGCCTTTGGGAATTTATTAATATTAGGAACAGTCTCACATCTGTCTGAAGAACATGAGAACCCTTAAATTGGTGCTTTTGTTTAGTGAAAACATATTTTTCTTTTCTCCTTGTATACTTTTGTGTGGCAACAGAAAAAAAAAACATTTTAACTGATTCAATTGCTGCATTCTCTTAATGTTTTGTTTTAATTCTCTCAGCATCAAGGACTATATGCTCTTAGCAGAGTGTCAAGTGCAGTGCCTGGCCAGACAGAGCAACCGCCACTCAGAGAAAGAACTGTTACTGTTAATCAATTTTCAAGGCCCAACACAACTCATACATTCAGGGTATGTTACAATATAAGTAGAGATGTCAAAGGGAAGATGATTTCATTCATGCCCACTGTTGATCTACAGAAGGTCTCATTTCTGGATCTCTCCTGACTTCTGATGTACAGGGGTTCTTGCTGCCTGGAGAGAGGAGGATGTTAAAAGTCTTGGAGAGGGTGTGGGACTATTGTATGAGGAAGAATTTTTTTTCAGGTCTAATGCATCAAACTGTTCCTTTGAGGGTTGTGTGTATGTTAGAGGTGTTCAGTCTTCCTTTGAGGGAGTCTGTGTGCTAGAGGTGTGCAGTTTTAGTGCTGCTTGGAGCTTTGCACTTTGGTAAGATTCAGTCTGCTGGATTAGGTCATAAAAACCATTTCAGTAGATAAGTGTATCACACCAGTTAATAGTGTATCTTCCCTCTTTACAGAGAGACACATCTCAGAAGAGATCACTGACTCCCATGGATATTGCTAACCACAGAGGGATGGATCAAGGATTTTTGATAACAGGTAGGCAAAGTAAGAATCTCTTGGAAGGCGAAAGGCCAGAAAAATCTATGAAGCCATCATACAGTTAAAAAGTGAAGTGCTCAGGAGGAGCCATCTTGGCATAAAAGAGCAGGTGTGCTTGGCAGAATCTTTTGAGTTTGAAGTTTCTTCTCACTTGGTCTGAAGTAGTCCTAACTGATGGGTAGGAATCCTGTAAAGCTTCCTCATCTTGTCTCTCTTTTTTACAATTATGGCAAGAGTATGTACACATGTACAGGCCAGATATTTTTGCAGCTGCTAGAGCAGAAACACATATTCATGCTTGTGAGCTGTTCATGACAAATTTTACGTCAGCCCCCAAATTAGTAAACTTTTTATTTGACAAAAAAATTTAAAATACGCATTTTTAATAGAAGTGTAAAGCTCTCTTAAATTAAAAAAAACAATCAATATTGACTGACAGCTTTGTCTTTCAATTACAATACCAAAAAGAGAGCAACCCTGTGTGGCTCATTTTGTTGCATTTTTACAATAAAACTGACTAGCTAATTCCTGGCTTATTTTGTAACCCTTATTTTATGTAACCCTTACTTGTTTGGAAGTTCCTAGAGTTTAAACACTTATATAATTAACATAATTATATAAAAGGTGATGTAAAAATAAGGTTAGGTTATCAAACATTGATCTGAGCAGACTAGTGGTAACTCACACATAAACTTGGAGTGTCTTTCAGAAACTATGACAATTAACAGTGTTTTATATTTTCCAGGCTCACAGCATCACTACAGATCTGTTCAGAGAAATCCTTCAACCTCAAGAAAGTGATTTCAGATTGCTTCTTAACCCATTTTAGGAAGAAACAGAAACCCTCTGCACTGAATGACTGAGCAAAGCACTAAATTTGCTACCTAGTATCTTTGTGTAATAAAGAAGGTGTGCAGTATGCTGGTGCTTACTGAGCCTTGCAATCTTCAGAATGCCTGCATTGCCTTCTTTTAAAATTGTCTGACCAGAGGTTAGATTAAAAAATAGAGCAAAATTAAATAAATGGTTGAGATGTCTTCTCTGTTTGCAGCGTCAAGATGCTGCTGTTGCACTTTCCTCTCAGGCATTCCTCCTTTTTCTGTCTTTCATAGGGAATTGTTATTCTGTGTATAGAAGTGAATAAGTTACATTGAGGCCATAAAGTCCTGCTCCCAGATTTTTTTTTTTTTGCTCAGTGTTAAAGATATTCTAGTCTATGTAAACATCAGTCATATATAAAATTTATACTTTTAAACAAGAGTTTGCAGTACTTCCTCCTTAATCACTGTTTCAATATTTCTCTATTTTTCTGCTTACTGCAGTTGATTTCCTACAAATATTGTCTGTCCCTACTTTTTCTTTATCCATTAATTCTTTTGTAATGGAATTCATTTATTGCTTTTGCTTACACTGTTCTAGTCATCAATTACTATGGGAACTGCTGGGATAAACTTTGTTTACAGGAAATAATTTTCTCCTGCCAGTCTGAAGATGTCTATAGATGCCGAGCAATTGAAACAGCATCCTGACAAGTCTGTAAGACTTTTCCCACTTCTTGAGGTTTCTTATAAAATAATATGTGTTATTGTACAAATTAATCATCTTTTGAAATATGTGAGCCTTAAGCAAGAAAATATTTACTTAACTGATGAAAGCATTATTTCATACCTCTTTGTGTAGACCCAAATGGGAAGATCAAAAAGGAGACTGGAATTGTGTTCTGTCTAGGAAACAAAGCACTGCTCAGATCCCTGGCTATTAGTACTGTGAGCATTCACAGATCGAAGGATTCCTCCTTCCATCAGAGAGCCAGTAGTTGAAGCAGATGCATTTGAGGTGCTGTTGAAATGAAAAGGAAGGATGAGAAAAGGTTACTTGCCCAAATTGTGCAGTTAAGACGAGTAACAGTTTTTTCTTCTCCTTGGGAACTAATACCAGTTCTCCTCACTTTTTGTGAATGTTCAAGGATTAATAATCCCAGGCACAAAGCATTTGTAGTGTATATTTTATATCTATGCTGTTAATCAGACTTCTGATTTTTGTAAATGCACTTTTTTATAGGCACTGTATTCTTTTGGATACTGGCTTAGTATTTGTCTTTGACTACATTAAGTTCACTCACTGGTGATGGTATGGTATAGTATTTGAGAAAGCAGAATGCTTAAACTTTGCAGTTGCAGAGCAATTTCATACAATTGCAGATCAATCTGATGGAGTTGCTTCAGAAATCTCACATCAAAGAGGACTTCCAGAATTACAGAATTAATGTCTTCAGCAGCATGTCCAAACTATACTTTTGCTCTTGTGAGTGCTCCCTCCTGTATTGTACAGACCTTAACAAGAATGCAGAGAAGCAATGGCAAAATGTGTCCCTTTCCATCTTGTACTTTGCATTTCATAGCAATGTAAATCTTATGTTGTGAACTAAATGAAAAGATGAACATGCACTGTTTGATTCTGTAACAACAGAAGTGAAGTGATAAGCACTGAACCACTGAGGAGTGGTTCATCATCTGACCCTTTGCGAAAGAGAGAAGATTGCTGACATCTATGAAGCAATGGAGCTCAGTGGACTTCTATATTGTTTTCTATATGGAGAGAAGAGCAGAACAACAAACAGTCTGCTAATTACTAGAGCCACAACAGAATGCTCTCAGCTGGCAGGAGAGAAGGAAGAGGAATGTTTGCTGTCTACCAGAAGTATTTTAACACTTTTACCTTTTGGTCAGCTTTGGGCACCTGACAGAATCACTGTCATCTTACATCCTGATCATCATCATCATATCATTGACTCATTCTATGTTGGACTAAATCTAAAGATTTAGTCCAATCTTTAATGGCTGTGGCTTTAACAGTCTAGACAAGATGGCCCAGCATCCTGTCCAGCTGAATCTGAAGTGTCCAGTGTTGGGGAATCCACAACTTCCCACATAGTGGGATCATTACAATGGCTGATTGTTCTCATCATGAAAAATTTTCTTTTTGTATCCAATCAGAATCTCCCCAGGTATGACTTGCACCTATCACCCCTTGCTTTTTCCATGTGATCCCTTACAAAAAGGGAGTCTCTGTCTTCTTTGTATGTACCCTTGAAATACAAGGACATGGTGATAAGGTGTCCTCTAAGCTTCTTTTCTCCAGGCTGGACAAACCAACTTCTTTCAGACTTTCCTTCCACAGCAGGCTTCTTAGTCCTTTAGTCATTTTGTGGCCCTTCACTGTACCTTATCCAGTCTGTCCAAATCTTTCTTGTATAGCAGGGACCAAAACAGAACACAATGTTCTAGATGTGGCCTGACCAGCACTGTGTCAAGTGCTAGTGATAAAGTGATTTCTTTATTTCTGCTGGTGATGTCCTTGTTGATGCAACCCAGCATTGTGTTGGCTTTCTTTACTGCAGCAGCAAACTGTTCACTTATACTGAGCTGTTTCTTCACTGTTACCGCCAGGTCGCTTTCCATAGAGCTGCTCCCCAGCCAGGTAGGTCACAGCCAGTGCTGCTCTTCCTAGACTATATTTTCCCAAATGCATAACCTTAGCATGTCCTTGTTGAACTTCATCAGGTTGCTAGCCTACTCTTCCAACCTATCCAGGTCTTCCTGCAAGGTGCCTCGCCTCTCCCTTCCAAAGTGTCCACTTCCCCACTCAGGTTGGTATTGTTGATGAACTTCATTAGGGTACACTTGATCCCATCATCCAAATCACCGATGAAAATATTAAACAGGGTTTTACTAGTATCAATCCCTGGGGGACTCCACTTGTGACGGTTGCCAGTTTGAAAAGGAGCTATTTACACCATCCGGTGGGTGTGGCTGGTCAGACAATTCCCCACCCGCCACGTGGACCACTTGTCCAGATTATCACACATCAGATTCTGTAGGAGGAAGCTGTGGGAAATCATATCAGAGGCTTGGAGATAGCCAGGTAGGCAGTGTCCACTGCTTGCTCTGTATCAACTGAGCAGGTTACTTTGTTGTAAAAGGCAATCGGCTTTGTCAAGCACAATTTGCTCTTCATAAATCCATACTGGCTTTTCTTAATCACATGCTTCATTAGACTTGTGACAGCTCCTAGGAGAATTTGTTCCATAAGTTTGCCAGGGACCAGACTAGGACCAATGGACCTGCCATTTCCTGCATCCTCCTTTAAGTCCTTCTTGTAGATGGGATTGGCATTAACCTTCTTTTAGTCTTCTGGGATGTCTCCCAAACTCCACAACTTCCCAAAGATTATGGAGAGTGGCCTCGGGCCGTGTCAGCCAGCTCTCTTAACACCCTTGTTGGGTATTGTCAGAGCCCATTAATCTGTAGGGGTCAAGCTCCTGTAAGAGTTCACATATCAACCCTTCCTTCACCTGTGGTGGGTCTGTGTTTGCATCAGCCAGGATTTTTGTTCCTAAGGCCTGGTACTGGAAAGGATGTAGGTGAAGAAAGTACCTCTGCCTTTTCAGTCTTGATGGTGACTAATTCACCTCTCCTGTTTAACAGCAGACAAATATTTTCCATCTGTCTCTGCTTGTTGTTTAAGTACCTGTCCTGGTTTCAGCTGGCATGGAGTTTATTTTCTTTGTAGTAGCTGGCAGAGTGCTCTATTTTGAATTTGCTATGAGAATAATGTTGATAACGCCCTGATGTTTTGATTGTTGCTAAGTTGTGTTTGCCCCACATCAAGGGCTTTTCAGTGTCCCATACTTCTGCCAGTGAGGAGATCCAGAAGAAGCTGTGAGGGAGCACGGCCAGGACAGCTAACCCTGACTGCCCAGAGCGATATTGCATACCACGGAATGACCTGCACAGTATATGAACTGGTGGGAGTTGGCTGGGAGGGGCCCATTGCTGCTTGGGGGTGGACTGGGGATTGATCAGCAGGTGGTGAGTGATTGTATTATGCATCACTTGTGTTGCTTGGGTTTTATTCCTCTCCATTTCCTATTTTTATTTTACTTTACTGTATTTCAATCATTAAACTGTTCTTAACCAATGGGTTTTATCTTTGTCGTGATACTCCTCTCCATCCCACTGACGGGGGTTGTCTGCATGGGACTTAACTGTGTGCTGGGGCTAAGCCATGATAGTATCTGAAGATTCTGTTCTTCTAGTTTTCGACATCTCTGACTAGTTTCAATTTGAGCTGAGCTTTTGCTTTTCTAACTGCAGCTCTGCACACCCTTGCAATGCCTTTGCACTTACTTGGACGTAATCCTGAAGCCCAAAAGAAGGTTCAAAGAGAACTGGATGAGATGTTTGGTAAGTTTTCCATTCCTCTTTTATCAAGATTGAAGAAATGGAAGTAGAAATGTGACATGTGACCATTCAAGATGCTTTAAGTAGATAGAAGTGGTTGGGATGGGTGCTAGAAGGTGCAGGAGAGAGTACTGAGAAAGTTTACCGAGTAAAGGGTAGGGGTTTTCTCTTTTTTACAGTGAAGCAGTTACAGATAGTCACTAATTTGCTATCATTTTGAAACTTCTCCGTTTTCCTTTTTTCCTTAGGAGGATGTCAAGTACTGAATGGCACAAATATTCAGATCATAACTTATGCCATACACAGAAACTCCAGGATCTTCCCTGACCTGGAGGAGTTCAGACCTGAGCAATTCTTCCCTGAAAATTGTAAGGATGAGCACCTGTATGCTTTACAAATATTTGATGTTGTTGATAGTTTGCATGCATCCATCGCTTTGAACTGACATTTCTGGTCTCAGTAGGGGGTGATGTGGAGGAATTTTCACCCCCATTTTCCCCTTCAGTCTTGCAATGGTTTTATGGTAGGCTTTTCAGCTGAGTGTACGTGTCAAGGTGTCAGCAGCGGGACTGCTGTTCACATGGCCTCTGTGAGAAAAGACCTGAGAACACACAGATCTGCTGGCTCTGTGATGGAGCTGCTGCAGGACACAGCTGAGCCCAGCAGCCAAACCAGTGGCATCTCTGTGAAAATGTATTTATAAAAGTGTACAAAAAAATGCTGAATAGACAGAGGAAGATGGGGAGGGGAAAGAGAGTAAAACAGCAGTACAAACACCAAGGTCAGTGAAGGAGGAGGAGGAAGTACTTCAGACACCAGAGCAATGATTCCCTAGCAGCCTGTGGAGCATGCTGGAGCAGGTTTATCCACAAGAGCTGCAGCCCATGGAGGACACCTATGCTGGAGCAGGAGAAAAGGGTGAGGAGGGAGCAGCAGAGAGGAATTTTTGTCTTTGTTTCTAACTTCCTAAGTCTGTATTTTTAATTGTCTATAAATTAAATAAAATTCACCAAGTTGTCTCTGTTTTGCTCATGATGGTAACTAATAAGCAATCTTCCAGTCTTTATCTTGACCCATAAGCATTTGCTTCCTTTTGAGGGTGGGGAGTGAATGGGTGGGTGTCTGACTGCTGGACAAGGCTAACTTACCTTATCTTAGTACCAGGCTGTACAACCATGACTGTGTTATAGGCAGGCACATTAAATGTGGACAAGAAATTTCCTAGAGCAAATGTGGACACCAAATCTTTCATATTGCAGGAATGCAGGTAGCAGATTTTTAGTGCCATGTGTTTCTTTGACCCACATCACAAGTTTTTTACGATCTTAAGCTGTCCCATTTATTCATTCTCCATGACCTCTAGCTTTATTCATGTAATGTGTAGCATGCTGCTAAATGCTTTGTTTAAACTTACTGGAGTTTAGGAAGGAGGAGGCCCTGTAGGATCTAGACAAACAACAGAAGAGTGGGCAGAATCTCCACTTGTGACCGTGCATGAGTTGTGATCATCCAACTTGGCACACTGATGCATAAATATAGGTGTGGTACTTTGGTAGCTACTTAGCATTATTGTCTATTATTTATGACAACATAATTGATACCTTATCAGAATTGCTTTACAACAGTAGGCTTGGGGGGGCAAGTGGTGGTCTGCTTTGTTGTAACACACGTCATAGGGAAGATTTTGGTTTCTTAGAGAGGAGTCAGACTTCTGTATTCTGTTGGGGATTATTCATTCATGCAAAATATTTCAAGCTAAGGATCCCAGAATGATGGCTACAGAAAAGAGCAGTTGTTGCAGTACAGTGAACACCAGGTTGCAGAAACCAAGCAAGCTATGCCTGATGGAGGTGGGCATTGCAGCAATTAATCTGTCTTCGAAAAACATAGCTGTGGTCTCTGCCTCTAATGCTGTTCGTCTCCTCTACTTCTGTGAGAAAGGATCCTCAGAAGGATTTGAAGCTGTAGATTTTTGGGCTACAGTGACATGAACTGTAGCATCAGGCCCTAAAATGCTTCTCTGAGGACTGGGGGAGATCTCTGAGTTGTCCAACACTAATAATATATTTTGAAATGGAGACTTGGTGTGTTGGGTTTTTTTGTTTGTTTGTTTTGTTTTGTTTGTTTGTTTTTGTTTGTTTTTGTGTAGATGATGACTCTTGGGGGCTACAAACAGCCTGGATTTTTTAGAATAACTTTCTACACGATCATTAATCATGTTGTGATGGTGTATGTTGAGAAAGAGAGAAGCTCTTATTAAGAAAAACCTTCCTTAAGAAAAAAACAGTTTTTCAGAATGAGTTGTGTACTTTTTTCCTTCTGTTGTATCAGATTCATTTTAGCTTTGCTTTTCTTTGGGTTTTTGTTTTACTTGTTGTTAATGATGATTTTATTGCTTTCTTTATTGAAGAATCCAGGCTGCGTTCTGGGGACCAGCAGAAGCCTGTGTTGTCATTTGTGCCTCTGGGCTTACACAGCTGCATACCTTTTGTCAGCATGGGCAGATAAGCTTCCACTTAAGTAAGAGGCTGAATAAAAGCAGGTTTGCACTTCTATGTGCATTTATGAAAGCAAAGATTCACTAACCAGTGGAATGCTCACAGAAATCCAACACTGAGCAAATAGCTCTCTGAAACTCCTCTCCTATGGAACTTCCTCCAAGGTTTGCAAGTCTCAGTGACATAATTAGGCCTCAAAGATGCCAAAACTCTCATTTCTTTTTCCTTTTACATCTCATTCCAGTGTTGCTGTTGCCTTTTGTTAGCAGCATCACCATTGCCAGCTGCTGGCACGATTTTGCAATGTTTGTTCTGCTCTGTTCCCTACTGCTTTCCCTGTGGCTTTTCACCTTCTCCCTGCTGTTTCACTGTTTCTCCTTTTTTTCTTTTTTTCCCTGCAGAAGTAGTTATCAAGAGTTAGAAACACAGATTTTTGACTCAGAATCACAATTAGCCACTTCATCTAACTATCAGCCCCATGAAGGCAACAAACTGCAAGGTTTTTTCTAAAGATGAGAGCATAATTACTGAGCTGATCTCCATATTAAAAAGACAAAAAGTGAGCCTCTTCATCCTGCATGCTGACTTCCTTCCTAGGATGTCACCTGGACAAAAGGGAGAACTGATGGCTGTGTAGCTTGCCTTGTGTGTTGGCAAGACAGGGTATGTATCTGCTGCTTTCTGTCACAAACCATTACAAACAACAGCAAGAGTAGCAAAGTTCGTTTCCAGCTGTTTACTGTGCATAAAGATACAATAGTCAGCATTTAAGATAAAGTTTTTCTGGGAGATTACAGGAACAAAGTACCAAAATTTAATCCTCTCTGCTGCCAAGGGTCATGAAAATCTTACTTAACTTCTGATATTCTGAGCCTTCTGTTTGTGTTTTTTGTCTTAGTTGTTATGTTTATGCTGTTTGTTTATTTAGTAAAAATGCTGATGCAGTGAGTGCAATCATTTTTGACACAAAGCAAACAGGCTGAGTGTGACTGTGGCTATAAGTAGCTTTTGTGCTGTTTTCAGAGGGTGAAGTTTTGTGAATTGGCTGAGCGCTATGCTGTCTCTTTACCAAAGTTCTGTGTTTGACCACAAAGTTTCTGAGCACTTACTTTGAGGAACAGATGCTCAGTAGCCTTGCAGCAGTGAGAAGAGACTCTGGGTCCTCCTGAGGCAGGAAGGGCAGCAGTGTATATGGTGGATGTGGTACCGCATCTACGCAAGCACTTTGCAAGTTGTGGCACAGCTGCTGGTGCTGTCAGTTGTGTTACTGGCACCCTTTACCCTGTGCCTGAGCATTCAACAGTGAGATCAGTAAAGGCCATTTGAGCTTAGAGGCATCAGTGTACTTTGCAGTGCTGCTCTTGATCATGGGTCTGTATGGGCTCTGGTTTGGGTAACTCCCTGAAACCATCAACCAAACTGAAACTTAAAAGTACTTTCCATCTCACTCTTCAGTCATTGTGTTGGACATCAGTGGACCAGTTCAGTTCTGTGGGAGCCCCTGGTGGTCTAGTGGTAAGGGCACGGCGCTGTCACTGCCGAACCTGGGTTCGATTCCCGGTCAGGGACACTCCCCGGGCAGGTGGAGCTCGTTAGCCCTTAAAGGCAACCCACCTACGTCCTGAGGACCTCGCTGCCACCGTCCAAGCTCGCTTGGCCCTGGCAGATGAACCTTAGGATTAAAGGGTGGGCTCAGTTCCGCGCACACTGTGTCTCACCTAAAAAAAAAAAAAATTCCAATGCGCAGGCTGGAAGGTGTAAAGACCTTCCCCGGATCTTCGCTCGCGAAGACTGGCCATTATTTATTATTAGTTCAGTTCTGTATGGCAAAATAGTGTTCTCTGAGCACCTGAAAACAGATGCAGAAAGATGATCCTGAGAAAATCCATCCTTCCCAAATCAGCAAAAATGTGTTTTTTCTCTTGACAGTGCTTTATGTCTTTTCCTACTGAGGTATTGCATGGGCCTGCAAAGAACTTTCTCACTTTTCACTTGAGTCAGAGGAGTGAAGTGAGAGCAGGGAGAGAGCACTGTTCCCTCTAGCTTCTCTGCCATTAGGAAATGCTTGCAGGCAGCCTCTCCATGTGCATGTTTTTTTAAATCTGTTTATTTTCCTGGCAAGCAGCTGCGCCTGTGGTCTTTGTGACCACAGGCTCCGCCTCCTGTTCTCCTGGCCAGATTCCCCGCACATTCAGCTTGGTGCAGCGGCACTGCCGGGTAGCCAGTTCCGCAGCCGGGA